GGTGGTGGATAATCCTAACAGAATTAATAAATCCAATCAATCTCTAGTCATTCAATAGCATTCTTATCGACCCTTACCTTTATCGGACGATACTCAAATGAGGACTTTGCCTAATACATGGAAGTCTTGATGATGTAACGGTGTAGTCAATATTATGGGTTTCCAATATCAGTGCCAGTAAAATACATAACGCGGATATTATACTTACTGAGAGATTCACAATATTGCGATACAAAGAAGTATAATTGTAATGCTCCAAGAGAGCAGAAACAAATATGCTACCGAATATAAATTATAATCGGTAACATAGTGGTACTATTTCTGAAATACTTTGCAAAAGCGCGCAAGTTTCGACACCAGAGTCAATTTTTTTCTAAGTAAAGCTGAGAAGAGTATTAAATTTTGTATTTCAAATATAACTTACACTTCGATAACCAGCAGGTTGTTGATAACTGTAGTCATAACCTTGGCCATAATTATAACCGTAATTGTTATATCCTTGGCTGTAGGCAGAAATCGGTGGTGGTGGCTGACTCGTGTTTGGTGGAGGAGCCTATACAAATGAAGCATAAGACAATATTGCAAATTATACAATAAAATGTAGTGATATAATTAATAAGACAATTTTATATCTTGTTCATAAATCTATCAAATTTACAAAGCTGTTTACCTGGTATTGATTATGTACCGCTGAAACATAACTCGTAGAATTGCTTGGATTGGGTACAGTATTTTGGGTTTGGGATGGAGGAGCTTGTTGCTTCCAGTCTTGTGTCCTAGATTCCTTTCGTCTTCTATCTCTGGAACTTGAACGAGATCTTCTGTCTCTGGAACGAGACCTGCGGTATCGGTTTCGTCTGGGAGAAGGCGACCGATCATACTTTCGTCTTCTTCTAACATGCGAGGAATCATCTGAATCAGCGCTGGGGCTTCGAGGGCCCTTGCGCCTACATTCAGATTCCATTGCTTGCTTCAAATCTCCTATATTATACAGATGTGCATTATATTTACATGTCAACAAAAATTAAATAGCTTAGTACAGAGATAGCCATTTGCATATGAGACCAGTATTTTACAATACATTATACTTAAGGCAAGTTAAAGATTGACGCGTTTGGGTACTTATGTCATTGCTCGCCTTTGAAATCGTATAAAGGCAACAAAATATAAGTTCTATTTGTCTTCTTTTATATATTATCTCTTTCACTATTTATCGCGATAGGAACGGATGGGTCGCGGAACCCATGATAAGAAGAGTTTTTATATGTGATCTCGCTTAAGGCGAATTTTATGAATCGCGAGCCTATTTCTCGACGCCACTAATTCAGACAATAAGGCTTCATCTCGTGGCAGACGTCAAATACGCGACAATTTAGAGCGTCGTACTGCAGCCATTGCTATCCCCTCAACGAGATGGGGACTACAAGGAGCTTGCATCGAGTCATAGACACATTGGCTATGCGACTCACCTCAGCTCAAAAAGATCCCTTGTTCGCTCGTTGAATCGTGCGGGCGGAGTGATCAGTTAAAATTGATATGTATGTACGTCAACAATCACCGATAACACACCGCATGCCGCAACCTCGCGGTCGAAGATCATGAAAATCCAACGAAGATCGAGGCGAATTTAAAGATACTTTTACATGTGAACATCCGTGGTATAAGAATATAAAGGTGTCTTTTCATGCTGATTCTCAATTTTAGCATTAAAACAGTGATCTGTTCGATTTGCTTACACTTTTTTACACTTTTTACACTTAAAACACCGACGAGATACTAGGGGTTTGTCGTGTCGCATGCTCCAATATGTTCCAATATGCTCCAACCATAGCTCCTACTCACTCCAACGCGCTTGATAGAGTGAGGGTGCCGTCACATGCGGTGTAAAGGCCCGTCTACAATACACGGAATAAGAAGTAAGAG